GAGCATGATGGCCTATGTCAGTTCCCGTACTCTTGAGAAGCTGAGACAGGAGGCTTGAGCCTATCCTGGGCAGCTTAATGAGACCTTGTCTCAATTTTTTTTTAAAAAGGTCTGGGTACATAGGCCAGTGCAAGGGCTCTGGGTTCAATCACCATTACCACCAAAAAAACAAAACAAAGAAAAAGCTGGGTGCAGTGGTGCACACCTATAATCTTAGCTACATGAGGATTCTAGCCCAGCCTGGGCAACTTTGTAAGACTCCATTTCAAAATAAGAGGTGGGGTTGGGGGTCTGGGGATGTAGTTCAGTGGTAGAGCACTTGCCTAGTATGCATGAGGCCCTGAATTTGATCTCTAGCACTGCAAAAAACAAAAAAACCCCACACTATTCGGGCATGGTGGCACGTGCCTATAATCCCAACCCTTGGAGACTGGGGCAGGAGGATCACTTGTTTTGAGGCCAGCCTGGGCAACATAGGGAGGTTCTGATAAAAAAAAATCCTGGGCTACAGATGTAACTTAGTGGGCACTGCACCTGCTTCTGAAGCACAAGGTCCTGAATTCAATCCCCATTACCAGAAAAAAAAATTCTACTGGTTGAAGTCTCTATTTGTACTTTCAGGAAGTAGCTCCAATTACCTTCTCCTCCTCCTACTCAAGCAACATCAAATTATCTGCATCCTTTCCTGCTTTGAATCTCTCCTATTATCTAAGCAAGTACATTTTTTGTATCTCCTTTGGCTTCATTTGAGTAACTTAAGGTATTTCCTCCATGAAAATTCTTTTCAATGACTTCATATTCTAGGCTCATCCTTATTTTTTTTCCAGTGTTAGGAGTCGAACCTTATGCATGCTAGACAAGCATGCTATGCTCCTAACCTTTACTCCCAGCCCCCATTCCTTTTTGTTTTCTTGTTGTGCAGTTCAGGCTGGCCTCGAACTCCCAGCAATCCTCTTGAATCAGCCTCCATGAGTGCTGGAATTACAGATTACAGGTGTGTGCCACTATGCCTGGCTCCCAGACCCCATTCTTATTTAGAAATAGAAATCATTTGGCTGGGCCTGGTAGCATACACTTGTAATCTAGCACTTGGGGGGCTGAGGCAAGAGGATCACAAGTTGGAGCCCACCCTGAGCTACACAGTGAGTTCAAACCCAGCCTGGACTACATAAAGAAACCATTTCAAGAAAGAAACAGTCTGGTTTTTTTTTCTTGGGGGTGGGGTACCAGGGATCGAACTCGGGTCCTTGCGCTTGCAAGGCAGGCGCGGAACCACTGAGCTAAATCCCCGGCACAACAATCTCTTCTTTGGCGACCGTGGGACACAGCTCAGCAGTAGCTCACTTGCAAGAAACCTCTCCTTGATACCAGTCATCACTGTGGTCCAGATTTTCTTTTTCTTGCAGTACTGGGGACTGAATCCAGAGCCTTCACATTGAGATGCTTAACTACATCCCCAGCGCAACCCTCCCTTTGTTATATTTTTATTTTAAGACAAGGTCTCATTAAGCTACTAAAGTGCTCAGGCTGGGCTCAAACTTCCAAGCCTCTTGTTCAGCCTACCAGAATGCTGGGATCTGGCCAGCAGCATATATGCCAGTCCACCCTTATTAGGCTGGGGACTTCTTAAAGGACAGTGTTTCGGGCTGGTCATTATTTCTGTGCAGCGTGCAGTGTAGTTATTATGCAATGCTTGCTGGACCCGAGCTCTGCGTTTCCAGGTTCGACCTTTAAGCTCTTTTCCCTGGGGAGTTAGCTGAGCATTACTTTACTTGAAACTTTCCATGGTTATTAACAGGAATGCGACTTTTCCTCCCCTTGCGCACCCCAGAGCTCTGTACCTGCGGACACAGGTGGGGCACAGCAGGTTGTCCTCCAGGTGAGGTGGCGGGAAGGTGCCGGAGGGCAGCAGGAACAGCGCGTTCACGCGCCCCTTCTTTTCGGGCACCCAGGCCTGTCCCGCGTGGAACTGCAGCTGGACCCAGCCCCCCATGTCTGCGGGGAGACTGCACCCGTGCACCACGCACCACTTGTCACCTGCAGAAGGACAGGGATTCAGGACCAATTTTCCAGCACTGCGTGCCCGTCGTCAGGCAACTGATCGAGGTTTTTCCCCAGTGCCAGCAACTCCACCCTGCTGCCCTTTAAGGGAATTAAAAAGGCATTAGGCAGGGGAGGGAGCATAGGGGTAGAGCGCTGGCTTAGCAAGTCATGAAAGCCCTAGTTCCGTCCACAGCACCACAAAACCCAAACCACAGTAAGCGACAATGAAAGCACAACTTTAGACGCCTTCGTGGAACAGATCAAGGGTCTCAACTCCTAAAGCCACTGCATCCTGCAAAGCAGTTCCTGGTCTTCTTTCATTGCATTTGCTATAATGCTCATGACACATATGAATTTTGTATTATTAATCCGCTTTAGGAGGAAGAACTGGGGACTGTCATTTAAGAACTGCTTAATATCACTCACTCAATGCCAGGAGAACCTGGGCTCAAACTCTGATAACTGACTTTTTTTTTTTTTTTTTTTTGAGACAGGTCTCACTATGTAGCCCAGGCTGGCTTGAACTCATGGCGATCCTCCTGCCTCAGCCTCCCAAGCAAGGCCTGAGATTACATGCTCATGCCACCACACTTGGCTCTGAGAGCTGATTTTATTTTATTTTAATTTTTGGTACTCGAGATTGAACTTGGGACTTTGTGCTTGAGAGGCAGGCAGCAGAAACACTGAGCTAAATCCCTGGCCCCTAAACCTTGCTTTTTTATCCTTTAACTTCCTTAAAGAAGGGAGAGAAACGAAACCAAACGTATTGCTCTCCCTTCTGATGCCACCCAGTTTAAACAGAAATTCTCAAGGGCAGGGGTAGCTCAGCATGAAGCCCTAAGTTCAGTACTCAGTATTCCAGATAAACAAACATTTGAGGTGTGAGCAAGTTATCTCTCGGGCAGTGGGGCAGCGGGACCGCTTACCGTAGGCCTCTGTTGGGGGCTGCACTGTCTCCCTTCTGCTGGCCCCGGCTGCAATTCGGCCCCAGGAGGCCAGCACTGACTCTGGAGCAGCCGTGGTCATCATGCTCGTGCTGACTTCTTCGTACAGAGCAGGTGGCTCTTGCAGGGTGGCCAGCTGCCCTGCAGGGATCAGGGCCCCCTCAGGAAGGTCCGTCCCCACTGCAGACATTCTTCCCTTTGGACCTTCCAGGGACCTCTGCCTCTGTTTACCTGATGACTTGACCCTGGCCTCCTTGGATGTAATAGGAATGTTCTGCAAATGGGGCTAAACATTGGGGATAACATGATAACCGAGATTGAAATGCAGTCAGTGTGCAGGCGCACCCTTGTCATCCCAGCCCTGGGGGAAGCTGAGGTAGGAGGATCTCAAATTCAAGCCCAGTTTAGGATTACAGGTGTGGCGGCGCATGCCTGTGATCCCAGCACTCCGGATGCTGAGGTAAGAGGATTGCTGCCAGTTAGAGGCCAGTGTGGGCTACATAGTGAGTTCATGGCCAGTCTGAACCACATAGTGAGACCCTATCTTAAACAAATAAATATAATAAACTAATTAATTTAAAAAATGTAAAACACAATTCATTAAAACCATATTAGTTCAATGGTTTTGCTGCCTGCTTCCCAAGCGCAAGGACCTGAGTTTGATCCCCGGTGCCAAAAAAAACCCATATTAGTGAGCCAGTCATGGTGGCACACACCTATAATCCTAGCACTCAGGAGGCTGAGACAGGAGAGCCCCTGCAAGTTCAAGCCCAGCTTGGGCTACATAGTGAGTTCAGGGCCAATCTGAACTACAAAGGGAGACCCTGCCTCAAAAATCCTCCCCCAGAAAACACTAGAAGTATGACCTGAGGGTTTGAGGCTATTAATGAAAGGATACAAAGTTTCAGGCAGATAAAAGGAATAAATTTAGCCAGATGTGGTGGTGTAAACCTGTAATCCCAGAACTAAGGAGGCTGAGGCAGGGAGATCCCAAGTTCAAACCCAGCCTGGAAAATTAAGCAAGACCTAATCTCAAAATTTAAAAATGAGCTGGGCACGAAGCTCAGTGCCAAGGCCCTGGATTCAATCCCCAGCACCTCAAAAGAAAAAAGTCTCTTGCATTGTAGCCATAGTTGATGACAATGTACCATATTGCTTAAATTTACTAATAGATTTTAAATGTTCTTACCACAAGCAAATAAGTATGTGAGGCAAAGCACATGTTAATAACTAGCTCAATTTAGCCATTCCACAATGTACACATATTTCACACCAGTATGTGGCTAATATTATTGAAACAGAGTACAGCCCTAAAATCCCAAAACACTGGGAGGTTGAGGCAGGAGGATCAAAAGTCTGAATCCAGGGCTGGGGATTTAGCTCAGGGATGTCACTGCCTGCCTCTCAAGCACAAGGTCCTGAGTTAGATCCCCAGTACCTCAAAAAAAAAAAGTCTAAGCGATGGGGATATAGTTTAGGGCAAAGACCCTGTATTTGATCCTTTGTACTGCAAAAACGAAAAAACCAAACTCACAAACCAAAAGGGCTGTGTGGTATAGCTTTTCTTTTCTTAGAATTGGGGGTAAACTGGGCTTGGTGGCCTATCCCGCTGATGCCAATACTGAGGGAGGCTGAGTAGGAGGAGTCTGACTCCTATCTTGGAAATTTACTTAAAGTCCCTGCCTCAAAATCAAAGAGCTAAGGATGTAGGTCAGTGGTAGAACACACCTGGGTTTGATCCCTGGTACCAGGTGAGAGAGAGAGAGAGAATGAGACTTGGGATAGGGGAGGAAAGAGACTAAAACAGTTTCTCTATTTTTGAGTGTCTTGCTGAACTGTATAGTTCAGGCTGACCTTGAGTTCACTACGTATCCTAGGCTGGCTTTGAAATTGTGGCAATCTTCCTGCCTCAGTCTCTGGACTGGGATTACATGTGTGTGTCACAACGTCTGTTTTTTTTTCAGACCGGGTATTGCACCTAGAGAATCATATATGCTAAGAGTGGCTCAGTGGCAGCTGTTCTACCACTCAGGTTCAGCCCTTTTTAAAAACTGTATTGTGACCTGAACTTGAAATTATACTACAAAGCTAATGTGACAAAAACAGCATGGTACTGGCAAAAACACAGACCTGAGGATCAGTGGAACAGATTAGAAGATCCAGAAACAACTCCAAACACTCAGTCACCTTATTTTTGACACCTTCACTGGAAGAAAGATAGCCTCTTTAATCCCCTTTAATAAATGGTGCTGGAAAAACAGACTTTCCACATGCCAAAGATTAAAACTAGACCCATATCTTTTATTATGCACTAAACTAAACTTGAAATGGATCAAAGATCTAAACATTAAAACAGAAAAAGAAGCAAGATATATCATGTACTGGTACAAATTCCCTTTGATGAATGTTATCATTACATATATCTAAAATGTACCAATAAATATTTGGCTAAAAAAATATTAAAATAGAAACAATCTCCTGGAAGAGACTAGGTAGAGCTCTTGATGACACAGGTATAGGCAAAGACTTTATGATCAAAACCCCAATCCCACAGGAAATATTACAAAGAATCAACAACTAGGATCTCATCTTATTAAAAGCTTTTGCATGGTGAAAGAAATAATCCACAGAGTGAAGAGACAACCCACAGTGTGAGAAAACATTTTTACCAGCTATTCCTCCAACGAAGGGCTAATATCTAAATGTATAATGATGTGGGAAATGGGAAGATAGTGTTCAAATGGGAAGAGGAACAAGGAGGAGGGAGGAAGGAAGGGACAAGAGAAAGGAAACAAAGCTTTTGTACATAGGGAGGGGTGGGTGCTAAAGTGGGGAATGAGACAAAAAATAAAATTTAATTTTAAAAAGGGCTAATATATAGAATATATAAAGAACTCAAAAAAATCAGAACCACCAAATTTAAAGACCCAGTCCAAAAATGGTCATCTGAAATGAGTACACTTCTCAGATAAAGTAGAAAGAGCAAATAGATATATTAAAAAATGTTCAACATCACTGCACATTCAAGAGATGCAAATTAAAATGCTGAGATTCCATCTCACTCCAGAAAGTATGGCTATTATCAAGAAATCAATAACAAATGCTGGAGAGGCCGTGGGGAAAATGGAACCCTGCTCCACTGCTGGTGGGATTGTAGACTGGTGCAATCACTGTGGAAATCAGTATGGAGATACCTCAAAAAACTAAAAGGGGAGGTTCCGGGCCAGTGATTTAGCTCAGTGGTTCCACCACTTGCCTTGCAAGCACAAGGACCCGAGTTTGACCCTGGTACCAAAAAAAAAAAAAAAAAAAGTAAAATAAAATAAAAGTGGAGGTTCCATTTGAGCCAGCTAGTCTCTTTCTTGGTATCTTCCCTACAGGTTAAAAGCATCATACCACGGTGATATATACACACCCGTTTATAGCAGCACAGTTTGTAATAGCTAAATATTGGAAACAGCCGGAATACCCATCAGTGGATGAATGGATAAAGGTGTGGTTTTTATGTAGAGTGGAGTATTACACTGCCATAAAGATAAGTTTGAGTCACTTTTAGGGAAATGGATGCACCTTCAGAACACAATTTTAAGTGAAATAAAAACTAAAATGGCTGATAGATACTGCAAAGTAGGAAGAAAATGTTCAAATGGGAAGGGGAACAAGGGAGGGAGAAGGGAAAGGAAGAGAGGGAATAGGGATAAAAAATTTAAAAAGAACAGAAGGGAAATTGAGCAATAGAAACAAAGTTTTGAAAAGGGAAGGAAGAATGATTAAAGGGAAGAGAATGGGGGGGGGAAGAATGAAGATACATTATGTACAGGTACAAATTCCCTGTGATGAATGTGATCATTATGTATGTTAAAAGTATACCAATAAAATTAATTAAAAATAATTGTATTGTGAGGTAGGATGTGGGTAAACTGCCCAGGCTGGCCTCCAACTTTCAATCCCCTCTCCCTCAAACTCTGGAGTAGCTGGGTCACAGGTGGCTACCATCACGCCAGGCCTTTATCACTGTTTCCTTTTCTGCTCTTTGAGATGGGGTCTGGCTCTGCAGCTCAGGTTGGCCTGTCCCTCGGACCCTCCCCCCTCAGCTTTCCAAGTATTGAGATTATGAGGTCACCACCACACCTGCCACCTCTGGTCACCTTTTGATGTTAAAACAGGTAGTTGGGGTGAGAACCAACTTTTTGCCCTGTGGATTTTTCTTAAAATGACTGGGGAGGCTGGTGGCCACACCTGTAATCCCAGCTACTGGGGGTGGGGGGGGTTGATGCTGGAGGACTGAAGTTCCAGTCCCACAGGGCAATTTAGCAAGTGACTGTCTCGAAATAAAAAAAATAACGGGGTGGGAGGCATGTAGCTCAGCGTGAAGGCCCTGGTTTCTTCTCCAGCACCGCAATCAATAAACAAGTAAATACGCGCGCATTACCTTTTGTTGCGGGTAAGCGGATTCACAGAGTCGCTTATATGCTTCTAATTTCTAAGACAAAGGAAAAACACAGTCACCTCGAGGAAGCCTCCTGCCCTCCCCAGCGAGCGCCGTGGCGGGGCCTGGCCCCCACCTGGCCTTTGGTGCTGATCTTGAGCTGCTGGCACCAGGCCCGCAGGATGTCCCGGTGGATCAGGGTGACGGGCGGCAGCTCTTGAGGGAGAGGAGGAATTTGAATCTTTTTACGAGGTGCTCGCGCCTCACCGTCTTGTGCTTTTTCCTCTGGACAGGGAGAAGAAGAACGGAGCAGAATTAGTATGATTAGTGTTGGCATGAGTTATTAGAATTTGAAAAGCACAGTCACTCTTAGTTCTCACGGTTCAATCCCCACGGTTCAATCCCCACCGGACAGCTAAACGGCTCGCATGGACCAGAGCCTCCAAAGCACAGGTCAGGCCTCCGACTCCGGGCTCCTAAACCCCAGGGTCAACCGGAAACTCCTCACTACCCGCGTGCACCCGCTCCCGGAGCTCTTCCGCCCACGCAGTGCAGGTGTTTGCATTTCACCCAGGGGACGGGTGGACGTCTTGGACTTGAGATCAGTCTGGTCTTGACAAGAACAAAATAAACAGCCGATAATCCTACACAAACAGCCTTGTGGCATCTGTAACCCTGCCGGCCTGCCCTGGGCTCTTAGCTCCAAGGCATTCTTGTTCTTCCTGTGAGCATAGCGCCTCAGTCAGCCTCCTGAAAAGACTCCCTGAACACACGGGCCACGCCGAGCACACAGGGACACATACAGACTGTCACCACACCAACATACACAGTGAAGGTTTTACCTAATTATTCAGTGCAAATTGCAGCCAGTCTTCCAACCAGTCCATGCCTATCTCTCATCAAGGTTCCCTATTATCACCAGTTATTTGTAAAATAGAACATGGAATTTCACAGGTGGGATTTCAAACTCAGAGCTACAGTGGACCCTTGACTTAGGAACTCAATTTGTTCCAGGGCTAGTTGTAACTGAAGTTGGTCAATTGAGGCTCAGGGTCCTCTGTACAGACTTCAAAGTCTCTCTCCTCAGTATGGGCCGATCTCAGTGTCCTTAGAGAGACATTGGCCCGGGATTTCTCAATTAGCCCCACACAGGAAGGGATGTTGTAATGTTCCTTCCGGAACTCTTTAAGGGATAAATCTGTATCTGAGACCATCTGGAAGCACAAGTGGCCAGCATTTAGGTCATACTCATGACTTTGGTCTAAATTAAAACTAAAATTCCTGGGGTCGGGGATTTAGCTCAGTGGTTCCGCCGCTTGCTGCGCAAGCGCAAGGACCCGAGTTCGATCCCCGGTACCAAAAAAAACCAAACACAAAGCCCCCTAAAATTCCGGTCATAACTCTAGGGCCCACTGTATTTATCCCCTCACACAGGGCGGGCTAGATCCTCAACTCCAAACAACAAAAGCAGGTGAAGTGATGGTGGAAGCCTCGAGCGGCGGGGCATGGAGGTAGGAGAGCTTCAACACGACAGAGTGAAGCCGGGCTCCGAGGGAAGTGAAGGCTTTTCAGAACACAGGAGGGAAATTCCTTCCCTGCTTCTTCTATTCTTTTGGAAGAATTCCTCAGGCATCTTAGACCTAAGGAAGTAAGACTGAAGGCTCGTAGACCTCTTACCTTTGTCATTTTCCACACGTTTTCTCCTTTTTATCCCCTTTGCAGACGATGTGCCGGGCTCCCGGTCCACTCCGTGTTCTTCTCCGGACCTCCCGGGGTCGGCTCCCTGCTGGCAGAGGATTCGGTCAGTCATCTCAGGCTGTGCCTCAACAGACTCAACTTGCCTTAAGAAAACGTCACATCTGCTGAGAGTAGTGGCACACGCCTGTAATCCCAGCCCTCGGGAGGCTGAGGCAGAAGGATCGCTGAGTTCAAGGCCAAGGCCAGCCTGGCTTACTTACATAGGGTGTTCAAAGTTAGCCTGAGCTACATAGTTAGACCTGTTTACAAAAAAAAAAACCCCAAAACACTCCACATGTAAGGCCCCAAATGGTCACTGCATTTGATTTCGTCAAACTCAGTGATCCTCCTGTCTCAGCCTTCCAAGTGTTGGGATTACAGACATGCACCGCCAAGCCCGGCCCAGTTTATATTCCCAAATCTTGGTCCTCTTTCAATCAGTCTCGTTTTAAGTGTTCATCTGGGAACCCTTCCTAAACCCTTTAGAGTCAAATCTCCCACATTCCATAGCCTCATTCCCACCACGTGTGTGCTGAGATTTTATTAGTGCCGTAGATTTGATAACTGCCTATGACTCATTTGACTGTGTGCTCACAAGGGTGGGTTTTTTTCCTTTCCCTCTTATAGTAGACACACAGTAAATATTGGCTAATAGAATCAAAAGGGCTGGCCGGTGGGTGTGGTTGTGCACGCCTGTAATCCCAGCATTGGGAGGCTGAGTCAGGCCGGTTGAGGTGAGTTGGAGCCCTGCCTGAACTGCATAGAGAGACCCTGTCTAAAAAATGAAAGAAAAGTAAGATAAAATAAAAAGAACAAAGGTGCAGTGGGAAAAAGTTGTTTACAGAGAAATTGATATATTTATTGAATTAGACGTGTTGCTTATTTTCATTCTCTTAATCCTCATAGCAATGTCACAACTACTTTATTTTTACAATCTAGACGCTGAAACTCAGAAGTTACAAAGTAAGAGCACACAGTTATAGGCACCTTAGAGAGAGATAAAGTAAATCCTGATGCTCACGCTATCAAATCTGCATCTTTTCCAATCACCCCCGAGGTGGAAGTCAGAGACAAATTAACATTTGTATGGCACTTTTACATCTCTGCAGCAGTTTCACATTTATATTCAGAATTTACATTTGCATAACCCTTTCACCAAGCATTCACTTTTGGGCCTCACAAAAATCTGAAAACAGAGAAAGCTGAAAATGGCCAGGTTCTGGGAAGTGGGGCCTGAGAAGCCCCGGTTTTCCCCCTCAGGGGACTATGAGCCCCGAGCTGGTTGTCACCAGACTCAGCCTTGGGTGGACCTGCAGGTCTCAGTGCCTGGGACAGGGATACCAGGTCAGCACCAGCCCCTGGGATGAGGACCTGCGTTCGCCTAAGGAAATAAGGGGTCTCCTTGTTCAGTCTCAGCTCAGCCACCCTGTCCCCAAATCCTGTCTTGCCTCTTCTCTCCTCCCAAACCACCCCGCTCCAGCCCCAAGGGTGGATCTGACAAGACAAGCTCGTTCCACATCCCGAAAGGAACCTATGCCCTCCTCATCCTCCCACCTGGTGCTCCAGCTGCAGTCAGGTCTAGGACTTTTTTTTTTTTTTTTTTAACAAGAGTCATTTCTAACACACATTTTCCCCAAAAAGAAAGACCAGGTGTGCTGAGAAGGAGGAACATGGGACCCACAAAGCCAGAAAACAAATCGACTAAAACTCTTACTTACCTCCTTGCCTCTTGCATTCTCCATACTCAGGCAAGAAGGTGGAACTGATAAAAAGAAAATTCTTCTTACTCCCAAATGGCCCCCGGCCCTCTGGAACAATCTCCTCCCACTTCCTGTCACCCAAAGGCGCTCCTCCTCCTGTCCGTCCCCTGGGCTCCCTCCCACCCCGTCTGCCAGTGCTCATCTCTGGCCCTTGCCTCTTCCAGAGACCTGGGCCGTGTGGTTGGATTACCAGCAGTTCTCTGTGACCTTTCGTTCCAAGTGCCTCAGGACATACTGGGAAGCTGACAACTCCTTTAGGACACAGTATCTCTGAGGGAAAAGGAAAAGTTTCTGGTGACTTTGCCAACAGTATGTGACAGAACTCAATGATGGGACTCATGGGAAGAACGGAATTCTGCAGCCAGGATGTAAAGAAAGTGAAGTCAAACCAGGCGCGGTGCTGCACCCTGGTAATCCCTGCATACCGGGAGGCTGGGGGCAGGGGAATTCCAAATTCTAATCCTCTGTCAAAAATAAAATTTACCAGGTTGAGGATTTAGCTAGACCGCACCTTGCCTGTCTTGCAAGTGCAAGGTCCTGAGTTCAATCCCCGGTAGCAAAAAAAAAAGAACTTACCCATATTATAGATAACAAAGGTTTGTGTAAGATTGTATTGGCAATTGGCTGGCTAGCTGAGCAAGACAGCTCCTAGCCTACTCACTTCCAAACTAATTCAAAATTCTCAGCTGGGTTTAGTGGTACACAACTGTAATCCCAGCTAGCTACTCAGGAGGCTGAGGGGGAAGAATGGAAAGTTTGAGATTTTTTTTTTTTTTGGAAAGTTTGAGATTAACCTGCACAATTTAGCAAAATAAAATAAAAAGGGCCAAAGGTGTAGTTCAATGATAGAGGACCTGCCCAGCATGTGTGAGGAGTTGGGCTTAATCTCCAGCACCAAAAAAGAAAAGAAAAACAATTCTCTCTTTTTATATACAGACATTCCTCTTTTAAGGACCGAGTGCTCTTAGATCGTTAAATGAATTGGTTGCTAAGTGAGGAATTGTCTACAGTGTGTACATTACAATATTTGGAACAAAAACATGGTCAAAGGAAATTCCCTCTCAATGACCTTTCTTTTATTTGCAAAACTCTTATACACAGTTCTGTAATGTAAAACAGAACATAAAACTACAGTACAATCAGCAAAACACTTGTATAAACAAGGTGTACTGTACACAAAGAAACATTGAGGGTCTGTGAATAAGATGTACAGAACTGTAGCCCTCAAAAAAAGATGGGTCATAAAACTGAACAGTTGGTAAGCAGGTAGGTCATTAAACAAGGAATATCTGTACAATAATTTAAAAATTCCCCCCTAACCGGGCGTGGTGGCGCACACCTGTAGTCCCAGTACTGGGGAGGCTGAGGCAGGAGGACTGCTGTGAGACTTGAGGCCAGCCTGAGATGCATAGTGAGTTAAAGGCCAGCCGGAGCCACATGGTGAGACCTTGTCTCAAAACAAAAAACAAAACAAAACAAAAAAAACGAAAAAAAAACAAAAAAAGCATTCTCTCCTCAAATTACCATTTCCTGTCAGTTTGTGAGGGATCTTAAATCTGAAGTGAGGGATTTTCCCAAATTTACTTTTTATTTATTTTAGTTGTTTTGAGAGAGCATATTGCTATGCAGCCCAGGTGAGCCTTTTTTTTTGTTACTGAAAATTGAACCCAGAGCCTTCACACTGAGCTATATCCCCAGACTGTCTGCCTTCCTTCCTCCCTCTCTCTCTCTCTCTCTCCCTCCCTCCCTCCCTTCCTCTCTCTCTCTCTTGAACTTACTATGTCACTTAAACTGGGCTCACACTCACAGCAATCCTCCTGCCCCAACCTTCCAAGTGCTGAAGTTGAAGATGTGTGCCACCACATCCAAATATGTTGATTTTTTTTTCTTTGGTACCAGGGATTGAACTCGGGACCTTGCACTTGCAAGGCAGGCAACAGAACCACTGAGCTAAATCCCTGGCCCCGGATATGTTTGATTTTGAGTTGGGAATTCACTAAGTCATCAGGTCAGGCTCATACTTGTAATATTCCTGCCTCAGCCTCCTGGAGTGCTGGGATCCCAAGTGTGAGCCATCACATCTAGCCTCTTTGGGTTTTTTGAGACAGGGTCTTGTTATGTAGTTTAGGCTGGCCTTGAATTTACTATATAGTGTAGGTTGGCCTCAAACTCATGGCGATCCGCCTGTCTCAACCCCCCAAGTGCTGGGATTACAGGCATGAACCACCATACCTGGCAACACCTAGCCTTTTTTATTTGTTTTCATTTTGTTTTTTCCTACATCCCATTGCTTGTCCTAAAATGACATAAGAGATGATCCTTTGAGCTATAAAGAAAATGTAGCATATGTACATGAGATGTATTGTTTAAACATAAAGAAGAATGAAATTATGTCACCTGCAGGAAAATGGATGGAACTCATGTGAAGTGACATAAGGCAGACAAGAGAGCCAAGTAGTGCATGGTTTCTCTAATATGTGTAACCTAAAATATATGGTGTTTTGAAAGTAGAAGTTAGAGTATTATTAGATGAGAAAGGGAATAGAGGAGGGGAAGGAAATGGGGGTGGAGAGATAGACAATTAGTTAGATCATTAAGAAATCAGCTGGAAGGGGTGGGGATATAACAGTGCAGCCACACCTGCCTGGCAAGTGCAGGGTTCTGAGTTTGATTCCTAGTACTGAGGGAAAAAAATCAGCTGGGCATGGTAGTGCACGCCTGTAATCCCAGCACTTGAGTAGCTGAGGCAGGACGATCGCTGCAAGGTTGAGGCCAGCCTAGACTACTGAACTACATAGCAAGACCCTGTCTCAAACAAATGAGAGAGACAGAGAGAGAGACAGAGAGACAGAGAGGATGTCTTCACATAGAGGTCATGGGCTGGGCCCACAGGGAGCCAGGAGAACCTGTATGTGAGTGTGTGATACTGGGGACTGAAACCAGGGCCTTCACACTGAGCTATGCACCCCTCCCCTCACACTTTAATTTTGAGATTGACTCTTGCTAAATTGCCCAGGTGGGGCTCAAACTTGTGATCCTCCTTCCTCAGAGGACCTGTGTGCAGGATCCAGATTATCTGTGGATTTAGTCAGGTTTTGACTTGTCACTTCATTATTCTACTCTTAGGTAACAATCAGTGAAGATTTACTAGTTCAGGTTTATATAGAAAGTGCATGTCGAGTCAGGATGGTTGAGCACATCTGTAATCCCAGCACTCGGGAGGCTGAGGCAGGAGGATATCAAATTCAAGCTTCAAGCCCAGCTGGGACAGTTCTGAAACTTAGCAAGATTTTTAAAATAAAAACAAGAAAAGGACTGGGAATGTTGCTCAGAAGTACCACAAGGAAAAAAAAAAAGTTTCCAGTGTATAGTAGTTTCTTAATTTTCCTAGAGTGGATTAGCAAAAGAATTGTTTGGTTCAACCAAAGTTCATAAAGTTGAAACCGACCTTGAGATTTCAAGTCTCATGCTCTACCCACCCAGAATGCAACCAAAACAATTATTTCTTCAAGATGAGTGGTGCATCCCTGTAATCCCAGCCCTTAGGAGGCTGAGGCAGGAGGATTCCCAGGAGTTCAAGGATAGCCTAGGCTCCATAGTGAGTTCAAGGCCAGCCTGGACTACATAGTGAGACCCTGTTTCAAAAAAAAAAAAAAAAAAGGATTTAATTTAAAATATTAAATTTAAAATATATGAGCATAATTGAAAATAATGTGACTGAGCTCTTGAACTGAGCCAAAATGAAATCTTTTCATCAGGCTTGTGAGAATTGTAGTAATCCATAAGCAACCTTCAGTAAAGTAGGATGGATTTGTACTTTTGTTTCTCAAATGTAAAATAAGAATAGCTAAGTTGTTTTATTTCACTTTTGTGAGTGGGAACAATTAGTACAACTTTAGGTGTAAAATTTCTTACAAATATTTAGCAGTCAGAAGAAAAGCTTCATTGTTTTTGCTATGTTACTCTTTTAATGACTGAAGTTCTTTTTTTTTGTTTTGGTACCTGGGATCGAACTCAGGACTTTGTGCTTGTGATGCAGGCGCAGCGCCACTGAGCTAAATCCCCGGCCTTAATGCCTGAAGTTCTATCCTAAATTCAAAAAATATTCATGACCGAATCTCCCCGCATCTATGGAACAGAGAAGAGTGTGGCTCTGAGCTCAGCACAGAGGCAGTGGAGAAAGGGGACCTGGAAGCAGCCCTAGTGGTCTCCTCCAGGGAGGAGGACAGACAGCAAGTACCAGGGGCAGCTCACACTAGCAAATGCCCTCTTGTGTGCTCTTAACTCAGATGTATTTGTTTATATCTGTGCAATCGAAACAAAAGCAAGCCACTCAATTATGACACTTGCAAGAAATCTTCCTGTGTAGGATGCTCTGCAGCAGAGTTTTGTGTTTTACTAGTAGGTGTTTGCAGTACGTGAGGATTGTTTCCTCACTTAGAGCTGGCTCAGGGACAGAGCACATCTCAAGTGTTTCTAGCTCCTCTTTTCCTCCTCCCTCAATCTGGTGACCCCCTTCCCATTTGCAAAAGATCTTTCTCCTTCTTTCTTATTATCTTCTGTTTTGCTCTTTAAATTATTTATAGTCTTTCATACAAGAGACACGATGAGATACTATTTATTTTTTATATTAATTAATTATTTATTTTAGTTTTTTGAGACAGGGTCTCACTATGTAATTAAGGCTGGTCCTGAACTCACTATGTAGCCCAGGCTGGCCTCAAACTTGCAGTGATCCTCCTGCCTTAGCCTCCAAAGTCAGGTGTGTGGCACCAGGCTGGGCTCACATTTATTTTTAATCCATGTGTCTTAGTTACTTCATTTCTTGCTGGGACAAAATATCTGGCACCCCTAAGTTAAAAGAGTTTGTTTTGGCTCACAGTCTGTAGAAGTTTCAGTTCATAGTGCCTTAGCTCCAAGGCAGGGTGGCAGGCAGACGGCATCACAGAGCAGAAACAGCTCATGGCAGGGAGGGCAGGAAGCAGATAGGGATCAAGGGAGGAGGAGGGAGGGAGATAGACCCTTCCTGGCCATGCCCCCATGATCCACCTCCTTC